AAAGGTTGGAGAACCTATTCAGTTTGGGGTTACAATGCAATACGGTCTTTCTCTAATACAATACTCTTGACCACATTGTTTGGTTTGATAGTTTATTCATGTCTACTATCCAATGTGATTCATTTGCTTATATGATTACCTTGAATTTGATTTGGAATGACTTCCTAAATCTCATTCATACTCTGGCCAGAGATTCTTAATCATATCATAGAGTATTCTCCCTCAAAAGGGTTGAAGGTTAGAGATCCCTTGTTGTGCATTCACTTGCCTCTATGGCTAAGTGGCTTAACCCCAACTATGTCGTGGACACCCTCTGATGGAATGACTTTGACATAGTCAAAGATCAAGGACCTAACCACAAGACAACTATGATGCCTCAGGTCAAATGAATACTTTGCATGATCCTAACCATGAGTTCTCATGTGACATGAGTATGAGAACTCCTTGTTGATCGCGTTCAGTGGACTCATTCTCTATTAAGCACCTACATGCTTGTCTTGATGTCAGTCACACTAATAACTCAAGACTAGTCACTCTCCCTAAGAGAAGACATAACACATACTGATCTTAACGAACCGTTAATGCCCAATTGGCAATCTTATGATCAGGAACTTTTAGGATATGTATAAGAAAGAGAATGATCTCATGAATCTAACTTCTTTAGATCACATTCTCCCAATTAGATATTTCTTGAAGTTATCGTTTAAGCATATAACATTTATATGAGACGTCTTTAAATAATAATCTTTGCCCTTTATATTAAGCTAGATTAGTTTAACATATGAAATGTCCGTAAAGTATCATCATATGATTGGTTTTAGGGCATATTTCCAACAGAAACACTAGTTAGATACTTCTTAAATGAAGCACTTCAAATGCACTTTTAAGTTTCGCTTGCATTTTTACTATGAACTGATTCCAAAAATAGTTTCCTAACAGATGATTTCAATCATTTTAAAAGCACAAGAAGCATTTGAATTGATTTTCTAGGTTTTGTTTGCATATTTATTAATAATTTGATTAAAAAATAATTCACTCAAAAACGTTTTTAATTATTTTAAAAATAGCGGTAAAATGGTGATGTAAATATGAAATTGAAGAAAAGGGACCAAACTGGTACCGCGGCTACCTTCCAAAACTCAAGTTACCGGATCGAAGAGATAGAGTGATCCTCTGTCAGCGTCTTCAGCCACCTCTCACCTGCAGCCAGCCACCTCTCTTTGTGAAGCCTTTTTAGCTCATGGCTTCAACAATTGTTAACGTGGGACCCATCCTGGGTCTGGATTACGTTGGTCTCAGACCCGCCAAACCTCTGAAACTCAATTCGGGTCGGATCCAAATCAAGACCACCCGCCCACAGCGCCTTTTCTCCATAAGAGCCAGCGACGGCGATGGATCAATCGGGAAGACCCGGCTCAGCGACGCCGAGTGCGAGGCCGCCGTCGTCGCAGGAAACCCGCCGCAAGCGCCGCCGGCGCCGCCTAAACCCGCCGCCCCAGCTGGAACTCCAGTAGTGTCTTCGCTTGTGAGTTCCCGACTCTCTAAACAATTTTTTTATTTTCGAAATGCGAAATTGTGTTCTGGGTTTTGATGTGTTTTCGTTTTGCATCAAATTTCACATTTTTAAAATTTGGGTTGTGGGTTTTGATGGGGATCGATTTTTATGCCAGCCGATCAGTCGGAGACCTCGCCGGAACCGAAGGTCGCCGTCGCTGAGAGCTGCGTTTCAGGAAACAAGTTTGTCTCCTGCCAATTTTGTGTATCCACTTTTTATTCATGAAGGTTGGTGCTTCCTTGCAACTCAATTTGGTGCTAAAAAGTTTTGCGTTTTACAATGTTTTCATGCTTAAACCTCTGTCAATTCTGCAATTCTGTGTAAATCTTGCAGGTCAGGACGACGCCCCTATTGGGGCAATGCCGGGATGTTATAGGCTTGGGTGGAGACATGGACTTGTGGAAGAGGTGAGGTACCTCTAACTCATTAGCTCTTATCTGTTCTGTTTAAGCTTATTGTTACTGGTTCCGAGTAAGATTTGGTGTGGAGCAGGTTGCAAAGGCTCGAGATGTTGGTGTCAATAGTATTGTGCTTTTCCCCAAAGTTCCAGATGCTTTGAAGGTTTTACAATTACTCTCGTGCTTTTGCTCAACTGTTCTGTTGAATGATGTAGTATAATTGGATTGGTTTCTGCCTTTTAGAATCCAACAGGTGATGAAGCGTACAACGATAATGGATTAGTGCCTCGAACAATACGGTTGCTCAAAGACAAATACCCTGATCTTGTAAGTTTACATAGTTCGTTGAGTCTTTTAAATCAAGTTGGCCTTATGTATTGACGTGTTCTCATGTGTGGAAGAATGTCATGTTGTTTATTGTTGTGTGCGTCAGGTTATATACACAGATGTTGCTTTAGATCCATATTCCTCTGATGGGCATGACGGTATTGTCAGAGAAGATGGTAAGTCACATGTGCCATGACTCATGAGGACTGATCTTTCTAGAAGATGTATATATTTCGTTCATACATGCATTTTGTTATTGATTACAAAGCTTATTTTTGATGTTGTAGGAGTTATTCTGAATGATGAGACAGTACATCAATTATGTAAGCAAGCTGTTTCCCAGGTAACTGTGGCAGATTAAGTCCTATATATGTAATTTCTCAGTTGTGAATTATGTTGAATTGAGATATGTCAGTAACCTACTGTTTAACGTGTTTACGTCTTATCAATAGGCCCGAGCTGGAGCAGATGTTGTGAGTCCCAGTGACATGATGGATGGTCGTGTGGGAGCTATTCGAACTGCTCTTGATGCTGAAGGTTTTCAGCATGTTTCTATCATGTCTTATACAGCAAAGTAATTCGACTTGTCATTACAATATTTCTTTTGCTGATCATTTAAGGAAATTTCATTATTTTTTAAGAACACATGTCATGCACTTTTAACCATTTCTTACATGAACTTTCTGGAGTTGCACTTGCTGAGATTTATACTTGCATTGAAGAATGTCCTTATCTTTCAAACAGGTATGCAAGTTCATTTTATGGTCCATTTCGGGAAGCATTGGACTCGAATCCACGTTTTGGTGACAAGAAAACGTATGTAGTTCATTGGAGTCAAACCTTATGCTAGTTTCAAATATAATTTAGCTATTGCTGACTTGACATATAAAATGTGGTTTGAAAAACAAAAGTTATCAGATGAACCCCGCAAATTATAGAGAGGCTATGGTTGAGGCAAATGAAGACGAGTCTGAAGGAGCCGATATCCTTTTGGTTAGTGTTGCTTGCTTTAAATATTTTTGCATAGCTACCTAATGGGAGCTAGTTCTAAAACTATGAAATCGTTCACAGGTGAAGCCTGCTCTACCATATTTAGATATCGTAAGATTACTCCGCGATAACTCCCCTCTGCCTATAGCTGCATATCAGGTGAGTCTTGTCATAAATGATCTCCTTTATTCCTTTGTGCCTTTCCTAACAGGAAGTTTGTTCTTGCTTTATTCCATTTCAAGCTTCAAAAACACAATTTACGCTTCTTGAATTGATACCTATGCGAGTCCTGGAAACATGTCTTGTTTATTTGAAGCTAGACGATAGAATAGTTGTAGTGAGTATTTAAAATGTTATTGTTTCCTATATTGTGTACTGATTGATTAACTAGAATCTCCTTTCCTGGCCCGTGTCTGTAAAATTGTTCTTATTTTATGTAAAATCATCAATGCAGGTTTCTGGTGAGTATTCAATGATCAAGGCTGGTGGAGTTCTGAAAATGATTGACGAAGAAAAGGTTATGATGGAATCGCTCATGTGTCTCAGAAGGGCCGGTGCTGATGTAATCCTCACATATTTTGCCCTGCAAGCTGCCAGAACTTTATGCGGTGAGAAGAGGTGAGACTTGTAATCTAGGAGATTGTTTATCGAGGAAAACCATGCAAGATTTCTGGAGCTTGCATTGTAAGTCGTAGAATGAAGTTCGTTTGTAAAAGAATGTGATTGACAGAGTTTGTTGTTCAGACAAGAAATAAGTAATAGTAGCTTCAAACTTTGGGTGTTTTATACCTTGTTCATTGTCTCAAAGTTTAATGTGCGCCACCGATATCATTACTTTTTTAGGGTATGGTGAAAAAGAAACAAAATGAAATATTCTTTTAATTTGTATAATGATAGTATCTACATTAAAGGATGAAAGAGTGGGCCACAATGGGTTTGACAGAGCAAGTCCACCCCTAAAAAAATGTGCCAGCAATCAGCCTATTTAATCCACTTTAGTGAACAGCGATAGACCCAATGAACAGTAATTGACCAAAAACATCTCCACCCCTAAAAAATACGTTGGCACAAACGATCTCCACCTCTACAAAATGCGTTGGCATCTAAACCATTTAAAATATTATTAATTTTTTTTATAAAATAATAAATTAAAAAATGTAGTTTTAATTTCTGATAGAAATTTTAACTAATTTTGTCACGCCACATGTTATGATCCGAAAGTACTATTTTGTTAATAGATGTCCGATAAGATTTTCAACCAATCCCGACGTGTTACTTGTCACTATTTGTTTATAATAATTTAACCAAGATTTCGATAAAATTTTCTACCAATCTTGTCACATCACGTGTCATTTTCCGAACGTACTATTTGATGGATAGATTTCTAATAAGATTTTCAACTAATCCTGACGCACCACGTGTCACTATCTGTTTACTAATTTAGCCAAGATTTCGATAAGATTTTCAATCAATCACGTAGTGCCACGTGTCATTGTCTAGAACATTATCCTTTCTTTTTTTATCCATATAAACCCTACATCCCTGCATCCATTTTCATTCGCACACCAAACTCAATCCTTATTTTTTAGCTCCGAATCCTTCTTCATTTTTTTAAATCTTGAGTTCTTACAATGTCTTCGTCAAGGAGATTGTATGAGCAACAGAAAAAAGTGTTGGCACAACAAGAAGAATTGTTCAATCTCGAGGAAGGTGGAGATGAGGCTTTCGCAATGGAAGAGGATGAGGATGATGAACATAGAAGGCTTCAAGCCTCACATTCCCGTTGTGTCATGGAAGTTGTGGGTCAAATAGCCAAACCCAGATATGCTGCAAATTTCGATAGAAAAAGGGAAAGACGAGGTAAAGATCTCTTGGAAGATTATTTTATTCCCAACAACGTATTCCCTAATCATATTTTTAGACGTCGTTTTAGAATGCAACGAAGTTTGTTCAAAAAAACCATGAGTGCTATTTGCAACCATGATCCATACTTTGTGCAAAAAGAGGATGCTTTTCATGTTCTAGGTCTTATTCCTAAGCAAAAAATTACGGTTGCCTTGCAAATGCTTTCATATGGAGCATCTGCAGATCAAGTGGATGAGATCGCGATGATGGGAAAAACAACTGTTCTGGAGTCCCTGATGCGGTTTCGCTTTGCAATTGAAGCCTTCTACTCCAATGAGTACCTCCAGAAACCCATGCCAAGGGACATGCGAAGGCTTCTGAGGAAGGGTGAGATGCGAGGCTTCCCTGGCATGATTAGAAGCATCGGCTACATGCACTGGACTTGGAAAAACTGTCCAAGTGCGTGGCAAAGAGCTTATGGCGACAGAAAAAGAGCCAAAAGTATCATTTTGGAAGCGGTGGCTTCATTTGATACATGAATTTGGCATGCTTTTTATGGTGTTCTAGGAGCTCAGAATGACCTAAATGTTCTTACCCAATCTCCAGTGTTCAACGAATTACTACAAGGAAAAGCGCTGAGATGCACATATTGGGTTAATGGTCATAAATACGACGGAGCATACTACCTTGTAGACGACATTTACCCAAGGTGGACAACATTTGTTAAAAGAGTGCCACATCCACAGAGTGAAAAAGAAAAACACTTTGCAAAATGTCAAGAGGGGTATAGGAAGGATGTGAAGCATTGTTTTGGTACCTTGCAAGCTCATTGGGCGATTGTCAGGGTTGTTGCTCGAATGTTTGATGTCGAGGTTCTTCGATCCATCATGATGACGTGTATTATTCTCCACAACATGATTGTGGAAGATGAGTATGATTATGATGTCGTTGATGAATACGAGCCACACATGATGAACAACTCAAGAAAACGTATCTACTATGCTCATGACCAGACCTAAGACCCCGTGCAACACGAGTCGTTGGAATAGGATGGACATTACAATCAATTGATCGTTGAGTGGTACACTTCAGTGCAAGAGCCACACTGGCACATAAGCCGCCAAAGTGACTTGATTGAGCACCAGTGGTGATTGCAACAAGGTGAAGATAATTAAAATGAGCTTGTGGTGGAAGAATAAAGTGTATTTTTTTTAAGTTTATGTAATTTTATTTAGTGTGTTTTTTTTTAAGTTTATTTGGTGAGTTTATGAAATCTTATTTGATGTGTTTAAATAAAGTATAAAAAATAAATTTGAAATTACAAGTACTCAAAATAAATAAGAAATTATACAAAGTACTAAAAATAAATAAGAAATTACATAAAGTACTACCAATAAATAAGAAATTACATAAAGTACTACCAATAAAAATGAAATTACATAAAGTACTACAAATAAATAAGAAATTACACAAAGTACTAAAAATAAATAAGAAATTAAATAAAGTACTACAAATAAATAAGAAATTAAATAAAGTACTACAAATAAATAAGAAATTATACAAAGTCTGAGGAGCTAGGATATGTGGTACTAGGATATCTTCATTGCTATGATCTGTGTAGCTAGAACCCCCTCGACTTGATTCCTCATCTCTTGCACGTCTCATTCGCACCACTTCATTTTTTTCCGATGTCCAAAAATATTTAGAATTCAGAGACATCCCTATTACAGACTTATTCATAGTGTCACGATCTGCTTGAGCCGTCATTTCTTCTCTAAGCATTTGATTTTCTCGATTAAGTATTTCTCTTTGTCTATCATTAGCTGCATCACGTCTCTCAGTAGCTGCTAAGATTGCTGCCATAGTTGTAGCTTTTGCCTCATCTCTAGCTACTTCCCGTGCCATGTTCAATTCACAATGACGAGCAAGTTCATCCATATATTTAGTGTAGTCATTTTTTGAAGAACTACCTTTTTTCTTTTATGCCTTTTTACCTTGAGGCCTGAGGGACTGACTAGTCGGCTGGGTCTCCGGCACTTCTTCAAGCGTCATTTCCGTCTCTTCAAATGTGCCGCCTTTTTTTAGGCCGTGTCTGCTTTTAGCGAACTGTGTAGACCCATGCCGTGCATGACAACATCCGGACCGGTTGTCACAATTCTGTATCTGGGGCAATCTTTGACAATTTGCCAACATTCCCATTTGTTGAATGATTTGTTGTGGTTCTTCACATTGTAGAATGTTTATGCTTGTAGTGTCTATAAATGTGGGATAAGATAGTATTATAAAATGCGAGTGTAACACAAAAAAATAAATTAAAATATTGATGCGGCTGGAATACATATAAATAAATAAAAATATTGTCACCTGATCCGCTAAACTTGTCCCACTACGCAGATTATTGGAAGCATAAGAGACAGCGTTCCTCCAACAATTAAAGGATACATTGAGTTTTTTCCAACGACCTTGAAGACCTTGACTACTTTTGGCGCCTTTTCCATGTACATTGCAAAACGCTTCCGTAATTTTACTCCACATTTCTCGCTTATCTATCTCGTTACCCGTAACATTACGGAAGTGTTTTGCAATGTACCTTGAAGACCTTGAACCCAGCATTCACACAACGTAACATCTTCAATGAGCTTCCACGTAGTCATTTTTTTCCACAAAAAAAATATATGAAAGGTTTGGTTGAAAGTGTTGAAAATATTGAAATGTGGTGTAAGGTGGAAGGTGATGGTTAGGTATTTATAGAAAAAAATAATATAATTCTTAAAATTTTTTCTGTATTTTTTTTTTTAAATTAATAATTTTTTATTAACTTAATTAATCTGGACCATTGGATTTGAAAAAGATTAAAATCCAACAGCCCAGATGTTGACACGCGGACCAACGGTCATATTTCTGACCGTTGTACTTTTTTTTTTAATAATTTACCGTTGATCTATGGATCGGACAACCCATATCACGCCACGTCATTACCCGTTGAATTTTAAATACAATTTTTTTTTACCGTTGGAAATTCAACGGTCTAGAAAACTAGCTGTTGGAAATCCAATGGCCCATAATGAGCCACGTGGCCCCTCATGGGCGCAAATTGGTAAGCTGCAATAGCGGGCCCCACACGCATTTTTCTGTCGGGGATGCACCCCCACTCGAGTGTGTAACACAAGCGTCGCACGCAAAAAAAAAATAATGGTCTTTGACGTTTGGCTGACGTAAGCCTAACGTCAGATGGCCCAGCTCTTGGGTCTATCGATTATGGGCCGACCTATTGTCTGGCTAGGGCTGGGTGCTAGTCTTTTAGGCTGGGGTGGGGCAAAAAAAAGGCATACTGGTCCATTTTTTGAGCTGGGTGGCAGTTTAAAAAGTCCCTGGTGGAATTGCTCATAATAATACGGTTCAACTTTGCCTTTGACGAGAATCGAACTTAAAACCTCTCACTTTCAATGAAGTAAACCGCAGTACTAAGTGGCACTTTTAGTTTTATTACCAAACTAGATTGCTCATTATGTGGCTTAGCTAAACTTCATCTTCCCTTAGTGTAAAAATATCGATGTACTAAAAAAAAAAAAAACCTATAGTCTAGAAAGAAAAAGAAAAAGTGCAAGGGAGAAACACGGAGTGCAAAAATTACTGGTAGACTTTGGTAAGTAGTTCGGGCATGTTTACTTGGTATGAGAATAAAAATGAATGAGTATCGGATAAACATACTCTGTATTTATCCTATACCTTCATTTTCAAGTATGCGGTATCTAAAATCAATGAGATTCGCCTAGTTTTTCATTTTTTTGGTGGTTAAACTCATGAATAGAAATAACTCATTTCTTGTCAATCCATTTTTTATAAGTAAACATGCTCTCCTTATATTTGTGGACATTTTAGTCATTTGAACCGTTGGTTGTTTGAGTAACACTCATTACACTGGTGAGAAGTGACATTGGATCAACTTTGTGGTAGTCAAGTGCTAGTGGGGTTTGGTATAATAAAAAGATGATTTAACTGGAAGAATGATGACTTTATAATTAATATGGAGATTGGCAAACCTAAACATAAAAATAAAAAATATTACAACTTACAAACAACTTTTTAATACGCAGAAAATGCTGCTGCTTCTACTAGATGATACCACCAAAGAAAAGAGGGACAAATCTTACCCTGTAATTAGTCCCCTGATCCTAATTAATTAAGCACCCAAAATTTAAAGAGCACATCATCCTTGATTCCTTGTGCCCATCTGAGACAGCATCATTACCAATAATGTTTGACCTAACTGCTGGGTTTATTTAAAATAACCCGTCTGTGGTCACCCGCGACCGCTCGTTGAGGTACCTTTCTGCAATTGTGGCATGAGTTGCAGCCCCAATTGGCAAAACATCTTCGTCGATGAAAAAATAAGGAGAGTGGCCCGTGTGTGTGGACCCCAAGGTCTCGTTCCTGATCCCGATGTAGAAGAAGCCAGCAGGGATGACCTCCGAGTAGAACGAGAAGTCCTCCGCCCCCATCATGGGTGGCACCACCCTGAAGTTGGTGGGGCCCAGCAAATCGATGGCCACTTTGCTCACATGCTCATGCATTTTCTCATCGTTCACTGTTGGAGGGTAGATGGTGTTCTGGTTTTCGAAGAAGTCCACTGTTGCTGAGCATCTGTAAACACTTGCTTGCTCCACAATTACCTGCTTGCCAAAAATGCAGATTAACTGCGTCAACTTAGGATGGCAATGATTAACGTTATATAAAAGAAAGTATCTACCAAATAGAATTAAAGGACCTACTTAGATTGCGTTTACTAACGTAAAAGAGTTTCATGCAATTGAAACATCGTGATTGTGATATTTCAAGTTCGTTCTACATTTTCATATGAGACAGTTAAACATATGATATTGCGTGATAGAATCGAGATACCACCACTATGACATCTTAAGTGTAAGTAAGTTTATTTCTTATGTTAGTATATAAAAGCTGGAGATGAATCGTCATATCACGATTATCCTTCTAATTTTTATAAGATAAATATAAATACTTTCATGTCACGGGTTTAATGCACACTTGTCCTTTATCTCTATTGTTCCGTGAATGCAGCACGTCCGCGTGGAGAGGGAGAAATAGGTCACGGGTTATTTTCCTAGAACCAAAGGTGGAGAAGATATAAAAAATTACAAACCTCTTCAATTCTTTGAAGAATTCTGTAGAAGTTTGTGTTGGAGAAAGCCCTGAAAGTACCACCAAGTACCACAGTGTTGGGTATCATCCCAAGATCATCGCCTCCATTGAATGCAGTTACAGAAACAACCTGAGTGCATGGCAAACAACATGTTAGGGTTTATCTCAGTAACTTCTTCTCAAATTACAATTTTGCCATGTCGATAGATAACCTAACGAACCTGCGAGTCCAAAGGGTTTGATTCACGGGATACGATGCCCTGCAAGCTGATGACGGCCGTGGCGGCTGCCAAAACAGGGTCAGTAGATCCTGTGGTTCCACTGATAACAGCTCTGAAGAAGCCACAGCCAGCTAGCAAGGGACCAGGCCTTGACCCGATGACGCCAGTAGGGTGCTCATGGGATACATGAGCTGCAAATATGGCCTCCACATCCTCCAAAGCATCATCTCCGATCATTTGCTTTGCACCATTACCGGCTTCCTCCGCTGGCTGAAACAGCAATATTACAGTTCCCTGTGCATGCAGAGATGTAAATTGTCAAGCGATATGTCAAGTCGAATCAACTTAAGACTTCCGGTATAATTCAAAGCATTGCTTATAGATGATGTAAACAACGAAAACTGAATATGTTGGGTAGAAGTTGACGATAGGACGACTTAAAGTCCAGTTAAAAAATAACATGTGATTGGAAAATTATTCTTCAAATTTCAGGATACGTCATCTTTTTAATTGATTTTGGTTTTTGTTAATCATCATTGTAGCATAACTAAAACAGCCCACTGAAATTTTTCTTGGTCGAGAAAAACTAATATGATGAGAAAATGTCATTTCACTCTCCACAGAGTTAAAGACATCCGAGGCTAACGTATACATGGACTGTGCTAACGACTAATTTATTCTCCATTAGATCTTAAGAACAAGCATCTTAACTCAAATTGGCAATCATGTTATTAACTTATTGTATTGAGCAGTTTTTTTTAAGCCAACGCCAAATGCAAAAACTTGAACAGTCTAACATGTATACTGATAGCTGACCTACCAAACCCCTTAAGATTCACACACCATTTTTAACCTTTCTCACATACTTTTTAAGTTCCAATTATCAAATAAAAAAATAAACGAGAATCAAAAGACATACATTAATAATTTTTTAACATAAATTAACAGAAATGATTAAACTATAAAAAATAACGTGTGGATAACTCCACGCATAAGAAATGGTCCATAGAAATCTATGTGCTCCTTTACCAGTCCAAGTCCAGTTCTAGTTAAAGGACGACTAATCAATTTAGCAATCAATTTATTACTACTCTCGATGTAAGCAATTTATGCATAAGTTTTTCTTCATATTTTTATAAAAATAAGAGTAATCCTATTCATATCATGTAGTTATACCATATTTCTATACCCCACATCATTTGAAAAATTTACAAAACCCAAGAAAAAAAGGAGAAAGACTTTTTGTATACCATGAGAAATTTTTGATTGTGATGGGAAAACGAGTGGTACACCAAGTGTTTTTTATATAAGTAGTGGGATTTTTATTTTTTAAGTTATTAACTTTTTAACACACATATCTCATCATTTGTATAGTGACACGTGGTGTACCATCTCGTGTGCCGGTCACACTGAAAAATCTCTCGTATGCTACAATCATGATTTAATTAACTAGTTTTTTTTTAATTATTAGTTTATTAAATAATGAACTAAATTTAAAAATCTGATTAATTCAAATGATATGGCTGTCCACATCAAATGC